TCAAACACAGAATGTAATGTATCAAGCCCTTCCTTTCGTTTGAGTAAGTGTTCACAGGAAGTTCTAATCTCCTCAGTAGCCGTGTGTCCTCAAACATTGCACACCTGTATCGAGGTCAGTGCGGAAGCAAAAACGAGATAGTAGCCATTTATGGAACCAAAGCGCGCGTCAGCTTCCTGAGGATAGTTTACATTACTCCTGAACCCAGGACATAGGCCTCTAAGACTATAAAAGCGCCACGACCCATTGCTGCCAAGATCGATGGGCAAAGGTTTAGCGCAGACCTATATTACGGAAGCAATGAATATCTCTAACGATAACACCTCAAGCATTTACAGCCGAGCCACTGATTCACCTAAAAGAATTTTGTCATGCCCCCTGATGCCTATCATTCTTCCAATCAGACACGATCTTCCCGAAATAAACTCCCTGGATCATCAAATCGCCTTAGCTCGGGGATCAACGATTGCACTAGAAACTACTCGAAGCCGCATTCAGAAATTGAAAGATCGAAAACGACTGTCAATACCTGAGTTGAAAGAACAAAAGCTAAATGAAAGAGCCGAGCAAGAATCAGAGAATGACTTCTACCGTGCTTGCTTCGAGAATTTCCGTGAACTTGCCACGGCAACGATTAAAGCCATGGATGAATTAGAGTTACAGTATCATTTCGAGCCCGACTCACAACCGATCGGCAACAGGAATCTGCAAAAGGCACTTGACTCTTTATGGATCATCTTAGAAGATTCTAAAAATCGTGAAGCCAAGGCTGAGCATCAGTGGAAGCAGAAATGGAATATCTCTCGAATGGGAAAACCTGCATGCAGATGGCTTTAAGATACCGTACTGCATATTTGAAGTAACTACCATATATCTAGTCAGGAGGCGCTAAATCGGGGTTTAACATCCAATTCAATGCGTTCAAAGTCAAATCTGATCGAAAATCATTCTTAAGGTGTGCAGTTTGCAATAAGCACATATTGGACATCCCCTTTAGACTTCTCTTCGTAATGCTCTAGATTTTGATGTTTCAAAAGCTACAGTCAGAGTTACTATAACGATGACTTTGCGTCTCCCTTTATTGGATACTATCTATCATGAGAATTAAGATATCCAACTGGAGAAGACTTGGTGTACACCGAGGTTTTCTCGTTTTGACGATGACTTAAAAATGCCATCTATCAGATAGAGCATAAACATTGGGTCAATATCCGCATGGTATTGCAAAATTAAGTTTTAAGCTTCGAAAATAATACATCTGCTATCTCTAATCATGGGAGAAGAAGAGAATTTCACGGCTAAGCATGGACCGAGAGCAATACCTGAAATGACTTGGGTCGTACACTACGTCTCAACAGTCTCCAATTAATGAATCACCATGCCCAGGCACTTTGGCTAGACACGGCATAATCAATCAAGTGTGCAAACGATTGGTATTCACTCTACCAAAAGCACCAAAAAAGCGTGCTGAAGAAGTTCTAGGTTTTGGCCACTCGAAACCCAGAAACCATTGATTTACTGTGGGCGAAATGGAGGTCTAGCATAAGAATCGCAAAAGTTTAAGAATGCTCTGAAGACCGAAATCCTCCTCGGAGATACCTCATTTCTTTGAGCATTATATCAGTTTTTCAAATGGGGCTCGATTGGTTTGAATTATCTCAAAGGGACCAATGTGCCTCGGTGCGCGTTACTGGCCCAGGAAGTCTTTTACTAAAGTCGTTACGTCTTTACTATGCTGATAGCTATGAACGGTAAAGCGAAAATAATTCATTAGCCAAGCAATGGATAGCTAGATCATACTGAATCTGCGTATGGAAACGCAATATGGGCCTCGTGTGCGGTAGAATATTTGATTTACTCCCTAAACCACTTTCCACATACGGTAATCAATGATGACAATACTCGTGAGTAGTGCATAGAAGGCATGCACTTGCAGATGACGGCAAAAATGTTTCGTACAATTCAATCACTCGCCAGGAGGTAACATTGAGTATTCCAATATTACTTCCAAATGCATTATCCTCACCGTTTTTCCTATGATACAGTACTTTTAATGTCTCTGGGGCTAAATTTCAATTTGATATCGAAGTAGGCTGACGACACCGCTACTAGGATGTATCTATCCCAGAGTTGACAACCCAGTATGCAATATTCACTTTGGTTATTAACTCGTAAACTGTATTGCAACGTATGGAGTCCCGTATTAGGGCTCTGTACTAGGTTTCACCTCGAGTCTCTAGATAAGGCACGCCATATTGCTCCACACCTGGTAAAGATCAAAATGTTGGGAAGATTAAGAGTGTCGGAATTCGCTGAATGGTCTGATACATAATCTAGTGGTGTCTTATGTATCGGGGGTAGTACTCGATTGTTCTAAGATTCTCAGAGTTATCCAGGTATTCGAAGGTCGAAAAGAACTAACCATCTCTTGGTGGGTCGGAATAGGAAGGCCTGGATGAGAATAATACGTGAAGATCCTACCATCTTCTGCCTCCATGGTAAGCCAGCTCTTGATTTTGTACAAACGCCAGAAGTCGTTGTGACGACGCAGCAAGTTAACTCTTCGCTTGCGAAGCTGCTCTTGCTTCACTTGGCTGTAGCTCTTGGCCATTATGAAAGAGGATTTCCCTCCTGCTAGAAGGCACAATGTTCAACATAGAGGAATCATATAGTTGTTATGGATCAGTGTCCTTAGAAACCAGAATTGTATTAAAAATAGCGATTCACACTTTGATCGTTGATATTGACGACTAACCAACGGTAAGAGCTAGTACTTCAACGGGTCCTCAAGCTGCTAACATAAGAGTCTTTCACCGCAGCAGACTTTACGAGTCTCCAGTTACTCATCATCTCACTGCTCTTCAGTAATAGTCTTCGTTCATCCCGCAGATAATTGAGACCATTCGAATCACAATGGAAAATCCACAAATACATCTTGCCACATAAAATGCCACCAACAAGCTTTACGTGTGTTATATTTAAGAATTACTTCTGGTAATCTCTCTATCGGGCCTCTGTTTTATGGACTAGACTTTCTGCCAAATAAGAAACTCCATGTGGAAGCCCGCTTTTGATCCGCAACAGAGCTCCACTGGATTAAGACAAAGCGAATCTTCATCCCAATGCTTAGATACATGTGCTTAAACACTATGGTGTGATTTTACCATCAGTACTATAGAAAAACAAATTATTGAGGGACCTCTGTGGAGATTGCAGTCGCTCTGAAATACATGTTTTCCTGATCACCACTTCCTCTATCTGATCGCTAGAGACTTTGTCCACTCAATAGCCAGCAAGACTTGAACTCCGCCAATTCTTGCGGTTTTTCCAATTTTATGGAAAGTTTTGACTCTAGAACGGCACTTCAACAATATCCATGACAAAATACTATCCGCGGCTTCCCAGCTTCATCTGTCTGACTCCAAGTTGAGGACTCGAGTAAGAGCCCCGCAAAAAGTTGCTAGGTTTGAAGAGTCAGACGGATTCTCGGATTGTCTTAAATGATCTTAAAGGTCGCTATTCGGGGTAATAGAGCTTGTAAAATTTCTTCGGAAAAATGTCAGGTGTGCAGTTCTGCTCGGAGGTTCCAAAATTCGACTCGACTGAGGATCCACGTGAGCGACGGAACAACACCTTATGCGAAGAATCGAATAAAGACGTTACCATACGTAAAAATCGAAAGTCCCACCTTTGGGTAAGAAAGAAGACGAGAAGCTGGGGCCCTCATTTGCTCCTGACTGCAATACAATCCTCAACACGACGAACTCTAAAAAGACCAAGTGGTCATAAATGGAAAGGGATAAGAGCTATCGCTCTATCAGGCGCACAGACATTGGCCCAAGAGACTCTCAAAAGCCAGTTCGCTCATCTAGACAGACAACTCGAAGGAAACATGAAAAAAGATCTGCTACAAGGTCTAGAAAAGAAATACCCAGCTTACAAAGAAATCTTTCGTGCAATTCCTCATTTGGTGAAGCTACTTCCGGTCGAAATGCAGCCAGATGCTCTGACTGAAAAGAGCCCCAAAGCATCGAGATTGGTGTTCCTTCTGGTGCGACGCTTTGCCAATTAATACCATCGAATTAATACCATAGGAGCTCCGGGGCTGGAACCATTAAACAGCACAAGAAATCCTCGATCGTTCTGTTCTCGCTGAATCATGCAGTAAATTAATTATTGTGCTGCCCGGATTGGAATGTCAGTCACATGTATCATGAAATTGAAAAGCCCGACATATTTTCCCACGCCTGCCGATTATGATAAATTCATTTATGTTTTGGTAAATAAACCATGCCTAACCGGGGCTTATTCCAGAGATATGTGCAAAGGAACGTTGTTGATTCCCATGGAGCGATAAGCTTTCGGTCATAGTGATTTTGGAAGATAGCTAGAAAAGGAAGTGACTATCTAAGATTGCAGATAGTAGACTGGTTGGAAACTGTGCAAACACCATCTGACTTGTCGCCGCAGAAGCAAGACAGCTGCCGCGATCCACGCCGGTGATTAAATGGAGGACTTCAACGGTGGCTTGAATATGAAACATCCATAAACGGCTCAGAAAACTAAATTACTAGCCCTTGGCATCTTCTATAATTCAATTTAAGTATGGTGATAAATGCAACGTCAGTTTAGTCTTTATAGTGGGGCCTTTAGATAGACTTTCAACTAGATTTATTGTTAGTTCACCGGATACTGGCAATCACCGAAAAATTATAGGTTAGCCCCACCGCTGATTTCAACCTTTGGTGAGCGAACAGATTTCTGTCAAATAAAGTTCAGAGGTAATAAGAGATTGAAGCTGGACTGTATATATAGAACTTAAGCAGATCGAGCAAGCTCAGCCTTGAAATATTTCCTCGTTACGCATAAGTTACACCATGGACATTTCTTTGCCTTCAACAGCTTTTGGAGAATTCACTTTTCCTTGGGTCACGAGTGATTCTGCACAATTCAACCTGGATGAAAGCCACGACTCTCAAGACACCTGTACGAAAAGATCAATGCACGGTGAAAAGGCTAGCTCTGCTTTAGGGCGCCAGTGGATGATCTTTTCAAAGGATCTGAATCCCCAAGAGATCCGGATGAAACTCCTTCAGGACAGTTGGAACACCTTCAAGGTGCTAGAATTTGGTGATTGGGTTGATCGTGCTTTAGGAAACTATTCTACAGCCGTGGCCATCTTGGAAGCACATCACGAGCACCTCGCCTTTTCGCTCTTTGATTTTTTATGCTGCTTTCCCCTCGAGGCTGGGAAATACTGGTCTTTATTAGAAGTAAGTGACAACCTTCAACTGAGACATGAAATTTAGCTCACTTCATCAAGAATCTGAACTCCGAAGGCTTCGTGTACCAAGCCGTGCTACATGCCCTTGAGGCTTTCAAGTCTGGTAGCCCTTACAGCGACATTCAGCTCAATACATATTTCATTACGAAACCCATACAAGCGCTGCTATCTCAACCAGACGCGCACATACTCAGCAAGCTAAAAGCTCTAGAGGCTCGCTACATGCGCTACAAAACGGGTCCTGGTATGATAGAAGGTCGGTATTTCGATACTGGGACAGCTCTTCTGAACTTACTCATAAGCTACACCCCAAAGTCTATGGCAATTAAATTGAGCCGAAACGCTCTAAAGTTATTTCGGACTCTGAGCCTTGAGGGCATACTTACTCAGGATCCTAACCTGAGGCTCCTTGGAAATCAGTGGAATCAGGTGTGCCTCGATGCGAAAGACCTAGCCGTCGCAGATATTCAGCAAGGGAAGATGAGGGCGGTCGCACAGGTATTTCTTCGTCTGACATCCATTTTCTACCCTTCTGTGACTAATGAACAGTAGGAACTGTTGCAGATGAACAATCACTTCAGTCTCACTTCCATTCTGATTGGAAAGAAAATGGCAGACGGCTATATGGAGTCGGACTTTTCTGGATTTGCCGATCCAACCCAGAATTATCGCTGCTACAGAAGGAAGTTACACTGTGATTCGTCAATTCCATTTCTGTATCCACTTCTAGTTGATTTTCGAAGAGGAGGAAAAGAAGCTCTCGCGAAAATATTCAGTTTTGTTTCATACGATCAAACTCACAAAGGACTCTCCTGTGCATCCCTGGATCCCTGTGAGGAAAGGTAGACCTCAAAGATGGAAATATCCAAATTCAATTGCCACAAGAAGAGAGTCATTGATGACGAAGACGTTTGTCGATGCCCCAAGTCTCTGTATATAAGTTTTACCACTTTATTCAATAGGTATCTCCTTCAAATGTGTTCCAAAACACGCTATGCCCGGCGCCGCTACTCTCATCGAGCGTTACCTCTCAGCACGCGGTGCGTCCGAAAACATGAAAATAGCTTCAATATCAATCTTGTACAGCTTGAATCTCTGTTACATATTCCCTAACATTCACGGATATAACTTGAGACAGCCACTGGGCTAGCCCAGCGCCCTGTTGCCATGCTGCTCTGTTGAAAATCAGAGGAAACTCGAGCGGAAGTATTCGGTTAGCGTGGATCCCCAAGGGGTACCGGTCGATCCAAGAATATCACCCTTGGCTCATGAGAGTAAGCAATTATCCAGCAGCGTAATTCTGGCAGGCTGTAGCTAGAGTATGTCTATTTAGGGATTATCCATGCCCCGGTATTCTAGCAAGTCTAGCGTCTAATACCATACAAATCTCGTGCAGACTGACCTTATGAGGGAAGCAGAAGGGTTCAATTTTATGCTAAAATCGTGCCTCAAGCCAGATAAAGGACGAGCAAGGCTTGCTCGGGAAGCTTCCCAGCCATCAGTGCTGGAGAAAATTAAGCTCACCCCTCAGCTACAGGAGAGAAGGGTACTCTTTTCATATTTCATATCGCCGATTCTTAGATCTGCTTTTTTACGTATGATCCCCTTAAGGAGACTACTAGGGCCCTCATACGATCTAACTTTATGCCAATGTTATAGTGCCTTATAAACAAAGATATCTCTCAGAAAGCCTTTCTCCCATTAGATACGAATATGACGGCCGAACTTCCTGGTAAGACCATTTTAGCAAGCACAAAAGCATCGAGTCTCGAAGGCTTCAAGCCCCGTCTGTCGAAACCGATGCCTCTGTTTCTCTCTTTTCTTATTAATGCCCTACTGGTCTCACCGGGCCCTACGCCAGTAATGGCTGGATGCATTGCCTGGATTTAGTGCTTCCGCATCGATGTTCCATGCGCTCCAGAAGAAAGGCAGGAAGATCGAAAAAGTAGCTTGAGTCAATACTTATATGCTTTGACGATCTGAACTTTGACGGTGATACAACCTTCACTTAAGATGTTCTGGAGCAGTATAACCTTCACAGACCTAGTTGCAGCCCATGGTATGGCTGTAAAAATTATATCTGTCCAATAAAGTTTCTTACATGCGGAGAGAGTAAGGCTTATGCTTACGATCGCCACTAGCTGTTCTACCACATTCTGACTTGATTACAAGGCAAGTATCCTTTACAGCAGCTACCCGCTCTCCATGGGCGAAGCAGGTAATACTTGAAGACAAGTTTGAAAGCCCGTGTCCCATTATTGCGTTAGCTCTTCGGCCATGGAAGAGGCTAGTATAATGAATACTTCTAGCTGATAGCTGATATGCTAAATAAATAGCAAAGATAACAGGACTTCTGCGGTTCCTCTGCAATTCACACTATCTGTGAATCTTGATTTCTGACATCCTGTTATAGTGAAATGACATTTTCCGTGCCTGTCATGTTGGTAAATGCCGGTCCTATCTCATGTGGACTAGTTGCAGCAGTGAATTTGATGAGCTGAGCCTCTAGCCAGCTCTTAGCGTCATAGTAATGCGGCGATTCATATATGTCTAGACGTCTTCTTTTCCCAATTCTCTGGGTAGAGCCATAGACAATGAAAGAACTTCCAGACAGAAATTCGGCCTGTAGTCTTGAACATGGATTCCGAACAAAATAAGAATGACATGCGTCATTGTCCAAAGACTTCCCGTTCTCACCAGGAATAGTGACATGAAAATGATGTTGAGTTAGATCGTCAAAGAACTGTGTGATAATTTGCTGGTCTTCTGGGAGCTTCAGTGTTCGTCTTTCATCACCAAAAATAATTTCAACCATGAATCTCTCATCTATATTCCTTGTGGGCAGATGCTGGACTGATATTGATGGCTCAAACGTCTGCAGGACCGGGACGTCAGTAGTCTCATTGCCCTCCATCCAGTTGTCTCCCTGGCTAGTAAAGACGCCGGGGTTCCATGGCGTATTCGTGCTTTCCATGGGCTCTCCACTAAGATTCACCTCACTACCGCTTTCAGAAATGGCCGTTTCACCTTCAAGATACCGAAAGAATGCCCTGAAAACTGATTTCCGCAGAAACCCAGCCGTGATGCGACGTGTCAATAAGGAGCTTTGTAATGACTCTGCCTGTAGCGCAAATCTATCCACGAAAACCGAATTTTCATATGGTTTTCCGATTCTTTGTATCTTCGGAATCTCTTTATCATCATCATTTGGATAATCGCAAGATATAGGATTCGGTATCTCGGGTGGATGAGAAGGCACGTCATGCTCTGCAGAAATCTTGAAATTTCTTGTCTTTGCCACCCAGACGAAGTTCTGCCAGATTGTTAAAGTACTGAGGGTATCTTGGGGAAGCGTATCTAGATGTTCTTTATCCTCATCTGTTTTTGGGATAAGGCGTCTATGTTGTGTAAGCTCCAAATGCTTTGCAATTTCAAATCCATATTGGAAGCTAAACCTCCAAAATTCATAGAGGTCCCTCTTCAGCATTCCCTGCATCGATGGCATTGTCATCCGAAGATGCGAATCAAATTGGTCGCAGACAGCCTCGTCAACAGTTAGTTTTCTATCTCGATCTGTCATAAAGAGCCGACTCATGGCGTCCTTTCCAACTTCGAGGTAGGTTCTGTCTCTGAAAAAGGTTTCGAGGGTCGGGATAGGATACTCAATCTTCTGCAACTGTTCCCATATGAGAGCACGCTGACCATCATCTTCCACCGAACAAAAAAGCCGTCTCTCTTCGCTGAACATCTCTTTTTCTAGTATCTTGAGGTCTTTCTCAGACACGCCAGGGGCCCGGGACTCCAGTATCCGCACCGTTGCGGCATCGATCAGTGAAAGAAGCCGGTTGTCTCCACCCACAATCTTTTGAAACGTATCTAGTATGTGTTCCCAGTAGCAAGAAATTGGCTGGGTAAAAAGAATTACTGGTTAGATCCGAAGATATCTTGTCTTTCAGAAGGTAGCTTCACCTCATCACATTTCATAGCTGTCACCTTATGCAGTAGTCCAATATGCAAGCCTTCCCAGATCCCGGGAATAACCAGCAAGGTATCTAGCTTTTGGGGTAGTGTCGGGTGTTTGAAGAACGACTTTAAATATTTGCCCTTTTTACTTCTTCCCCTTCTAGAGAAGACCTCCAGCATCGACCACCAGTGATTTGCTGCCAGTGGGTTTGGGGAAGCATCAAGTTTTCCCTCGTAGTATCGGATACGTTGGTATACCAGGCCATCTGATGGTGAATTCTCGTTCGTAAAGTGTTCTTGTAAAGATCTAACAAGACTTTTCTGGACTGGTTTGGTCTCATCTAGTAGGTGTAGATCTCCGTGTTAGCCACTGATGCTCTGATGAATACAAGTATTCAGCAAATTAGTTTCATCCTCCTGTTTGTTGACAAACCTTCTTCCTTAACCACATAGATATCAGCAATCCACCATTGGCTGTTTGGGCCTAGTCGCTCCCTGGCTGCAGTTATTAAGCTCTCGTGGCTTTGCGCATGGACGTAATGATTGATATCGACGTCCAAGTCGGGAATAGCTTCATTTGTATCTCTCAGGCGCACCCGATGTTGCCAGTCCACCGCTGGTATCAAGACTGGCACATGGCAATCATTCATCAACCGCTGGCACCCTTGAAGTCCCATGATATCCCGAAGTCTTTTCACATTCTGACCGTCATCCATCTGCCTTTTAGTTGTTCTCGTAAAGTAAAGCCGAGACATATCAACCCTTGCGGAGCCTTTGAATAGCAACTGTTTATGATTAAACAGTTCTCGCTCTTGTCGTTCTACTTCAAATTGATTAATGCGCATGGTTTTAAGTGGAGATATATCAAAACAGAAAATGATATGAATCCCAGCTAGAGATGTGGCGATGGCTTATACAAGTTTCCATGACGGCTCAAGTAGCCAGCCGGAGAAACAAATTTTCAAAAGCTGTTCTTCGTTGGACACACACATCTGGATATTTAAGTGAGGAAGTCCTACCCGAATAGGTCATCATAAATATTTCACTAAGTCGTGTCTGAGAGCGGTAAGGAATAGCATGTCATTACATAGCGAAATCTGCTTCAACCCTGACGACTGATGACTGCTTTCTTTTCTTGGGCCCCACTGCCAAAGCTTTAGCGCAGATCCTCTATTGATCGGACATACCAAGTTGAGGGCCAGTCTGCCATAGCCGTTTACAGTAACGTATCTACTCGCGTAATATTACACCCACCACTTTGAATATTGGATGATAAACCTTGAGAAGCGGCATCTTACGGTGGCCCTCAACTTAGTGTGGTCTGGTCAACACAGGATTTGCGGTAAGGCCTTGGCAGTGAGGCCCGAGAAAAGAAAAGCAGTCATCAGTCATCAGGGTTGAAGCAGATTTCGCTATCGACTGTAATATCCTGATGCATTCCTTCATTACCAAAAATTTGCATGTCATATTCTCAAAGTGTGCGGTGAAGCAGTTAAAAATGCCCCAGAATTTTAGCCTCTTTCTCTTCTAAAAACAATCCTTTGGGTCTTTTTCAATATAAAATGATCAGTTTTTGCCACGATCGATGTGCTTTGTCCGAGTATCCTAGCTAAGACTTTTACGATAAACATGAAACTCCATAGATTGGCCAAGTTTGACCAGTTTGTCTCTATTGGGGCTTTATTGGCGTCTATTGCCACGTCAATATGTCTCGGTGTTGTCTTTGTCGGCTGTACCTCGACCTCTACACCAGCTAATCTATACTTCATGAAGGTAGGAGTCTCGCTATGGCGATTGAGTAACTATCTTATCGTATAAATAGGTAAACTTGACCAACTTTCCGGCTGTTGATAGCTTCCACCTTCGCCGGGCACGCGGCCTCGGAGATATTGACAAGTCGAGTATCACGGAGAGCACAACTGATTTTGTGAACGGTGCGACGGACGCTACAGAAGACGGAATAAATGCGGCAACTTCTGCAGTCCAGAATACGGCAAACCAGGCTCAAGATCATCTGAACTCGTTGGTCAAGGAACTCAGAAGCAGCCTACCTGATTATTATTCCATTGGGCTTCTCAGCTATTGTAAAGATAGTAAAGACAAGCATAATTGGTGCTCCACACCTAAAACATCCTTTGCTTTTGACTTATCAAACATCCTCGGATCTATGAGCTCCGATCTAGAAAATCTGATTCCGGGATTGAATGAGAGCGCGCTTCAAGGATACCACAAGCTTTCAAAAGCAGTGATCTGGCTCTATATTCTCGGCCTCTCGTCAACAGTTTTCTCCATGCTCTGTGCGATCAGAGCAGTGTTTTTCTCTGGAGGACGCAAGCTTTTAGTGCTCTCTTGCACTGTAAGTTTATATTGACTTGAAACTATATTGGCTGCAGTAACTGATATAAGCAGTTGTCCGCATTATTGGTAGTCATTGCGACAATTGGTATTACAGTGATTTATAGTTTGTTTACTGCTGGTATTAATAGTGTCTTACATACGTTTGGTGCCCATGCAAACCTCGGGCCAAATACGCTTTCGGCGGCATGGCTTTCAGTGGCTTTCTCCATTGCTTCCTTTTTCACCTGGGCGATTCAAGCATTTTGCTGCTGCATCTGATGTTTTCAAATATGAAATCTTCGATATTAGAAATACAAATTAGGACAGATAAACCTATAATTCGTGACTTTATACAGCATACAAAAAAGGCTTGGCAGCATCAACAAAGCTTCACACATAGGTCTTATTGTCTGAGTACATTAGTCACGATAATTTTATAATTTCACTGGTCCAGGTGACCACTGCGACCGAAAAGCATTTGAGTATTTTCGCACCGATTTAAGTGACTCTCAAAAAGGGGAAAACTCGGGGCTATGAAAAGGAACTGAAGATTGATATGAAGTTTTAATTTGTAGAATACCACGTCCAATCAGATTTAATTGTCTCTTTGAGGCACTAAAAGTACTAATTTCGGTATTCACTAAGGCTGCTGTCTTTACAGCTAACCTACATATGGCCGTGCAGCCGCCCGAGGGATTTGAAGGCGTCAACCGCAGCAAACGATGGGTCGACGGGACATAGTTCCTCGCAAGCCGATTGTGCATCGCAAGCTTGGTCAATAATATCGTATAATGACACTCTCAGCTCTTGAATAGTCTGGTAAACGGGATCAAATCCATAAGTGGGAGATCCAGCAAGTCCAGACTGATGAATTCGATGCAAGTCATCGGAAGACCGAGCGACCAGATCCTGCAAACGTTTGAAAAGAGAGTAGCATGATCGGTAGTAAATGTTTTCCCCTTGCTGTTGGCCGATTTGCCGGACGATCCGTTCGATTTCATCCATCGCAACCGATAGACAGAATGCGAGCGACCGTCATTGATGGTCAAGGCAGCCTTATAACTTCCGAAGCCTTGCATGAATTAAGTGGATGTTACCAATTGTATCACCAATCAATACTCAAAAGTGCATTTTTTGAAGTCTTTCGTTTTAGTCAGATACGTTGAAACACTCAAAAATGAGGGGCAAATCACCGAACATCCACAAAAGTTTGATTCCCGTTCTCATGCAAAAAGAACGCCGCTGTCAAAAACTCGTGTCAGTATTCATTGTCACTTTGCAAATATAAGTATCCCAGAGTCGCCAGATATATTACAAACATCGAACTCCTAACCACAGCCTCCACAATGTATTCATCAGAAATTCAGCCATTACGTGACTGCGCGTTGATCGCTACTACCAGCTTTTTCGGAATTGCTTATTTCACGCTCTTCGTGCTGCAATTTCTCATTCTACATTTGTCCTCTTCGCCCATCATTAATACCCTAACGGTGGTTTTGTTTGGAGCAGGCATTATGCTATGGTGTTTCTCTGGCCTTTGTTACCGGTTTCTACGTGCCTTTCAGGGCGAATCTGCTGCTGAGTGGCAGGGATTAGAGCTGGGATCATTTCTCTTGCTCATCTGGACAACTGCTCTTCCTACTACTGTGTTCTTGTTCCCTCCACAGAGTACCATTCAAATGGCGTACATATCAGCGTTTACAATTGTTGCAATTTGCAACATGCTTGACTTCTTATTCTGTGAATCGAGCGCGAAAACCATGCGCAACCGATTCCCTTATCACTGCATCTCTCTCATTCTGCTGTCATTGGTGCCGACCATCTACGCCCTGACGGAGAAAAAGGGTACTCCGCCATCACTTGCCTTCGAATATTGTTGGCTGGTTCTCTTGAACCTTGCCGGAGCGGGATTGTACATTCTTCAACCACTCGAGCGGCTTGGTGTTGTCAAAGGATGGAGACCCAGCCTCTACGTGATGCACTTGATTCTGGCCTATAGCCTCGCTGTTTTTTCCAAAGTTATCTCTAGTACAGCCCTGACTGCATGATCTACTGAGTCGCGTGAGGTGCAGCTATATGGGACAAGATGAGCAGGTGCACTATTCAGTAATTGCTTGGAAAAGTTGATTGAGATAGCTAGATTCAATACCACTCAAGTTCGCTCTTCACCATTCTAATGAAACAAGGGTTTATAGTACTCAATAACTCGAGATTTGCCCAAACGTAGTGCGAGCTTTTCCTCCGTGGCAGAGCAGAAGGCGTCTCGTGTTTGCAATACAGGAAATTCACCGTAATAGCCTTTTTGCAGTACAGGGCCACTCGAAACCGGCATCACCATACTATCCAATTCATTGATTTCATTAAATTCTATTTTAAATGCGTCGCGCCCAACTTATCTAGGTCTCGACAGCCTCTTGACCTTGGTCGGCTTTTAATTCGACAGGGTTAACTGCGCTAGACCCTCCCCAGTACTCTCCAGGCATATTTGGGTCAGGCCAAGATTTCGAAAAAGTTCGAAGAAAACAGAGTGATGAGGCTAATTTCGAGCGGCGCTGGATTAGGAGACTACGGAGACACGGAAACCAAATCAATATTCTTTGGGTCCCTGCCAGCGGAGACAACCAACTGTTGGGCCTGGCGAAAGCGCAGGCCGCGACCCACGAGGATGCTACCCCTCAAGCACAGGTCCCCCGAATGAAGTCAACAACACTGACTATCGCACGATTAAAAGCAGCCACCAACAAAGGCTTGCCAGAGAACGTAGGGAAATACGCCAAATGAGTGGATACAGCACTCCCAGGAAAACACACCCGGCAGCTGTACGATCGATTATCGTGGAAAGAAGCGAGCGTGCTGGCCCAACTCCGGACTGGCATGGCTAGACTCAATGGATATCTCAATCGAATCAACGTAGCTCAGGCGGATCAGTGTGCATGTGAACAAGCAAGAGAGACCGTGGAGCACTTCCTCTTTCGATGTCGGAAGTGGACCAGACACCGGACTGAAATGCTGCAATGCACCCATACCCACTGAGGCAATATATCCTTCTTCCTGGGCGGAAAATCGCCTAATCAGGACTGGCTGCCGAAATTAGAGGCAGTACGGGCCTCGATACGATTCGTAATCGCTACGGCCCGCTCGACGGCTTAACCATGTTGGCGAACACATGTGATTTCTTTCCCCCAAACTAACCCACACCAATCGCCTCGTGCCAGAGACGGTAGACGAGCTTCAACTGCCGAGAATAGGAGATTGAACACTTCAAGAAGCGCCTTCAAGCCAGCCTACTAACAAAATTACTAACCCACGAGGACCCACTATGATAATGACGGCTGGAATGATACACTGAAAGTAACCATGTATGGGCTCTAAGGAGACAGGACATTTATTAGGAAATGTATTGGTAGATCTGTGATAGTTGCCCTTTCGGCTTAGCCGCCGGACTTTAATAAATTGTATATGTGTGTGTACTTCTCCCATACCGAGATCGATTGAATATACTGCCTGGAATTGGCCCAAGAGAGCGATTCTGATCATGAACTCAGCCATAATCGTACGCGCTTCCAGTCGCGTCAAGAGTTTGTCTTGATGGGGAGCGATCCCCTACTCGGACAGAGCGCTCCGCATACAGTCGCGCTCCTCTTGGTGCAATGGGCACTCAAGCAGGACATGAGCTACTGTACCGTCTGGTCGCCTAGATTGCAGCCACACCGTGCCCACTCTCGTCAGTTGATACGAGCCAGATAGCACCCAGGCCGATTAGTCAGAGAAAGTTAAGCTATATGAAGATTCAAATGGAATTCACCAAGGCCTTCAGCTAGCCAAGAGAATAAACGTTGTAAAATTCAATTCTTGTTTGGCGGAAGACAGTAGTTACAGTAGTAAGCCTTACCAGCAAAAACTAACTCGGAGCATTGGTTTCTTGTGGAATTAAAGCTGGCCAAGGCCAAGGAAAAAAAAAAGCACATTCCACCCCATTTTGTGTACAAGTCATTCATTATTGTTTACAGGCCTTTGTTCCAGGGCCGATGCGCGTAACGCCTGCTTCTAACAGTACGATTGTCTACCAGTACGATAATCCTCAAGTAAGATTATCTCCCAGTACGTTACGCAACAAAGGGGTTCTCTGTCAGCGAGAAAACACAGGATAGCGTATTTTGGATGCGGACCGAGCCATAGGTATGAGTGTCTGAAGGATAGACTGGTCGCGAATTCTACGGACGAATAAATTAGTTTTCGCTTAAAAAGTGGTATGTACAGTACGTGGCACATATACATAAAGGACCTACATAGTTGCTGCAGCCTGCATAAAATTTTGATGAGGGCTTAGGTAAATGAAGTCATCCATCCATCCATACTGCAAAATCGTTTACGTATCGTATATTATTCCATGCCAGAGATTGAATTCTCTGTAATTGTTATATAGCGATTCTACATTAAGGCCCGAGGGTATCATAGCCTGAGCGATACACGATGATACTGTACCCATACTTCGCTATAGCGGAATTCGAATTGACGCATTCCATGATTATCGTTGTTACGATCTTCATTTCAGAGGCTGAACCAAAAATTGATGGCAAGGAGCTATCACGGGGTGTCGGCAACCGCTGTGGGTTGGTTTCGTCGGCTTGAAACTAAAAGCTGATCATGAGTCTCCTTCCTCTGCCCTGTGGATTTGAAGCAATCATGTCTTACCGTTTGGTGCGTTTGATGCGACGGGGTTCTCTGGGGAGCACTATCGCTAGAAGTTCCACTTTCATTACTCCTAGATGCTCGGGGTTGCTGATCCATCAACTTCAAGCCATGACCGCCTTTCCACTTCTTCCTTTTCCGCTCTCCCGGGCCAACCATATCATTGTAGGTCGTTCTACCCTCCGTTGCAGCCAGTTTCTCAAGGCGCTCAGATCCACGCGTGCCGTTTGGCGGAGTGAGGGGAGTTTCGAATGTCGTTGCTTTTGGCCGGGAGATGGATTCGGTCCCGCTGCATTTTCCAGTCCTGAGCTGGGCTTCGCGAACTAGAAAAATAGTCAGTGACCCAATCTAGCTTAGCACTAGGCGGAGGCTCGCTCACGATGGTTCACAGCATGCGCAGTAAGTGACTTAAGAAGCTCCTCGCTGTTTTCAACTCCACAAATAGCGAACAACTCTCTAATATTCTGGGCTACCATACTCGAGACAGTATCATCCATAGCGGGCGATGAGTGGAGGGAGAAAGTTCGATTTCTTGAAACTTCCTCCGGGACTCCCTCCAGGATTCCCACTTCGAATGTTCTAGGCAGTGACTCCCTTCGGGAACGGAGACATGGGCCAATCATATCAACACCAGGGACTCGCGAAAACAGCACCCTCCAGGCCAAGGTAAGAATTCATAGAGATTCACCTCCTTTTGGGTTGTCGTTTTCGCTACCGCAGGGAAAACGAAAATTGGGCAAAGGCATATCAACAACGACCATTTTGCAGGTAAGATAGGTCTAGAGGCCGATGGCCCGCAATAAAGAATTCGAGTCCGGGAACATCCTCAATTCGCAGATAAATTAGTGAGGGTGTAAATAATTGGGGAACACGACTCCGACTGCACAAGTCGCAAATAACCTAAGTCGGATAATTTCCCTAATCTGTGACCTCCCATTTTGTGCAAATTTGGTCGAATACCGGTGAAGGGTCGTGATTTACCCGAGTATCGAGGAACACGTTGAAGTGATTGCTGAGGGCGCGTTCAGTGAAAAATGGAGAGCCCACAGATGAACCTACAGATGTGAGCCATCCATCTGCATTGCCGTGTTGCTTGCCTCTGGATTGATTTTCGAACAGTCAAATTGTGAACGTTAAAGGCCGATATGCGTCATGTTGATCGTGTGATGATGGTGGTGAAGTGAATTGAGCGCCGACCGGTGAAAGAAGAACGTATTAATCTTGGGCAAAAGTACGGTGTTCAATTACTGCCATTGGGTAAATAGAATGTGGTTACCTTCTCTTTCCAGAGCCCCACACGTATCACGTGCGCTTCCTAATACCCCTGGACCCCCCACGTTTGGTGCATGATTGCTGCATAAAAAGGTTTTGACGTCTCCAGTTTTGTTCCACCACAGGCGGGGATGGGGAAATTTTTTGCTCCTGACTTCTCCACCTTCGGACCTGCCAGCCGTCGTCTGTAGTTCTGCTTCCCCCGATGGAACACTTCTTACGATAGGCCACGGTTTTCCCTATTTTCAAGCTGTCGTGTGGAATCCTGGTTCTCCCGATAGAACAGTTCGTACGATAGGCCACGGTTTCCCCTATTTTCAAGCTGTCGTGTGTAGTCCTGGTTCCCCCGATAGAACAGTTCGTACGATAGGCCACGGGATTATCCTTCTCCAATGTGGAGCAAGGAGTAGCTGAGGACCAATCATGTCCAAGCACTCCTAGCGCCCTGTGAGCGTTATTCTCATCACACGGCCTCAAAGCATATTGATCGAGACAGGCCGTTTCACCTTCTCATCTAATGCCAGTTCCAGATTTTTCTATCCTTACCTCCCCATATTGGCCAGCTTTGCACATGAATGCCAAATTTTTGGGCGCCAAGGTTAAAGTGATCATAGCTTCCTAGTAGGAGGTCTCCAGCTCCATATGAACCCTGATAGGGTCTCCTGCGACTGATGGGGTCTCCTGCGACTGGAGGGGTCTCCGGCGGACTTGCTTGGACTGAAACGGAACAGTGGGGCGCGCCCATTCCATGCGGTCCGCAAGATACGGAGCTGAGAGCAACCGCTATGTAGACACAAACTACGAATTCTAGCTGTTGCTGGCTTGCTTAAAGTCTTTATGCTATTTATGCTTCATGTCACAAGAAGTACATAAACGTAATTGCTGTCCCCACTAAGGCTCTTTTCCGTTTATAAATTCTTCTCAGTTCTCTGTATTGGTGTCGGATGATAAGTGGAGCACAAAGCTTAGGAAACAACTGCCCTCTTGAGCTGGGAATGCATATCTGTTCATTTGCTGATACACAACCATTCTTCTCCTGTGTGTACTTACCAAATATTTAGCTTATAGTTTATCAGCAAGACCTCACCAACTTGCGCAGATGTCTTCCTGGAGTCTTCACTCTTCAAATTAAGAGCGTTTTCTCATCCATTCGTGCCCTAGTCTGGGCTCTTTCCTGGCTATTTCGGGTCTTGTTGACAGTAGCACCCTGTCGAGCAGCAGCTTCACCATCTCCTGGTGTCCGTTCTCCACGGCATTTTGTAGGGGTGTCCGACCGCTGTAGCGGCTCTCAATATTAGGGTCGGCGTCCTTGTCGAGCAGCAGCTTCACCACCTCCCGATGCCCGTTCTCCACGGCATTTTGTAGGGGTGTCTGGCCGCTGTAGCGGCTCTCAATATTAGGGTCGGCGTCTTTGTCGAGCAGCAGCTTCACCACCTCCCGATGCCCGTTCTCCACGGCATTTTGTAGGGGTGTCCGGCCGCTGGAGCCGCTCTCAATATTAGGGTCGGCGCCCTTGTCGAGCAGCAGCTTCACCACCTCCTGATGCCCGTTCTCCACGGCATTTTGTAGGGGTGTCTGGCCGCTGTAGCGGCTCTCAATATTAGGGTCGGCGCCCTTGTCGAGCAGCAGCTTCACCACCTCCTGATGCCCGTTCTCCACAGCATAGTGTAGCGGTGTCCGGCTGTAGCCGTCTGTAATGTTCGGATTGGCGTCCTTATGTTGTTCATCGAGTAGGGTCCCCGTCAATTGCGTGAGTCCAAAGTACGCAGTAACATGCAATTTTGTCATTTGAGTTTCACTATAGTACCAGTCGTACTTCCCGGAATCATACATGGCCTGAGTGGAGGCAGAAAACTTAGCCTTATTCTTAAGAAAATCCAAAATCATCTCATCCCCTTCAATCGACGACATGCGGGCGTGGTGTCCCCAATTTTGTGCAGCATAGCTGTATAGTCTGTTAGACTCTAGCCGGTCCCTAAATTCGTTGCTCGTTTGACAAATCCCACTCTCAAAGATACTGAATGAGAGATAAGTAAGGCAAGTTTTTGTAATATTGGTCTCTGCGTCCGGAAACCAATGTTTCTGTGTTCGCTCGAAGTATTCTTGTGTCGTATAGTGGACTAACCGGATGATGCCGTTTTCTTCATCAATTGTGACTAATCCAGCACACACTGAAACCATAAGCTCAATTGGTGAGAAGTTATCTCTATCAAGCTCAAACATGCCAACTTCTACTGCAAGAGCGTGTTGAAGTTCAAAAATAGTCAACGGCCTCTTTGTGCAGGTGATCCATGATATAACTCGCTTAGCAAGTGCTTTCTGCTCTTTATGCTGACCTTCGATTCGTTCAATCGCGTCCTTGTAGGCATGATCATATGCATCGGATCCAGTTGGGAGCATTTGCAGAGCTGTGCGGATATCTTTAGACGATATCTTCCCAGCCAAGGATTCAATGTGAAAATGTGCCAGCAAGAACCTAGCAAAATCAGTGTATTTCATAAAGAGCAGGGGGAGAACACATACATTCCGCCGACCGCCTTGACAATTCCAGTCTTGATTTCTTCCTGCAGTTCCAAACTGTCGCTGACAAAGCTTGGTAGCTGCGAGATATGACTGTCTAGATATCTCCGTACATCATCACTGCTTGCACGGATCTCTATTGATACGCTCCCTTCAAACTTCATCATAACTTCTGGAACGAATCTCGAAGTCGCAAAGATATTTGCTGCGCATTCGGCTTGGACGATGAATATCTCAGATAACATTTTGGTTCGGCAACCGTCAAGTACTTGGCATTCATCAAGTGCATCGACAATAATGAAGACTCTCGAGTACAGGGCCGCAACAGTGCGGAGAACTTTCGAGATTTCGTCGAGTGATGGTCTCGTCTGTTTCTTGCTGTGGCGGTCATACAGAGCTTTCACACTGTCTGGCAGCGAAGGACGCTCCTGAATTAGCTGTCTCAGTAGACTTGCGAGAAAGTGCTCAGCTTTCTGTTCGTGCCGTCGCCGGAAGTTACAGTATATATACGCTATACCAATACTGGCATCACTTTGAAACTTATTGCAGAGCTCGTTGACCACAATTGCTGTGAGAATTGTCTTCCCAGCTCCGGGAATGCCAGGACAGAACAATGTCTGGTTGCCTGTCTTCAGCCAATTTTTATACTCGTCCAATTCTAGAAGCCATTGACCACTTCCGGGCTGTCGCCTTTTGAGAAAGTCGCTCTGTTGAGGACCATAGCTAATTGGCGTAAGCCATTCCAGGACTCTCTCCTCCTCTTGACTGTGTTGATGATGGATAACATTGCTAACTCCTTCTTGAATGTCTGCTAGCACTACAACTTGTCAGCAAATTTTGTATTATCGCTTTGGAAGTTTCATTCCGATGTGGAGGCTACCACGCCCATGTCGCTGAGTGGATGAAGAAATCACAAGCTTAAGAATGTATTCCATTGCTGTCCTTTCCAATCTATCATCGCAGGGATGGTAGAGAAGTAGCTCTACTTACAGCTTTCCAATTTGACCCATGGCGTCAGTGCAGCTACCTTTCTAGGCTTTACAATATGAAGCAGCTCCCTCGTATATGCAGCGGCCACAAGTGCGGCATATTTGTGCCATGCATCATTTTTGTGCGAATCAGAATAATCGCAGATTCCCCGAATCACCAGACAGGGGAAGCTATTCATCAAACCACCGGCTTCCATTTCAAAGCACAATATATTTAGTGCTGGGTCTTTCGCGTACTGGTCTCTTTCTCCAGAATTTTTCATCACCGAGTTCGCAGATGCAATGATACCATAGTGAACAACGACTTCTCGACCAGGACTGCGGGGCGCACGCTCCTCCAGTCCATCAGCCTGGCAGTCCGCGCAGCTCTTTCCACCCATGTGTTCGTAGTCGGCACGGTATAGTCGATCATCAACGGGGCGTCTGTAGTCCAACATATCATCCATCAATTTCAAATGTTCAGCGACTCTGTCAGGCTTCCTCGGGTCATTATGGCGTCTTTGCATCTCCGGAAGAGCTCCCAGAAGCACCTCTGGAGGAGAGTCCAGCTGGCCTGTTCGCTGGAATCGACTATTTGGTAAACGCTTCCCAAAATCGTACTGTACAACACCTCCGAGTTCGCCCTGTGGTACACTGACCACCACGTCGCCGAGTCGAATATCTCTTTCCCGCGTTGGAGCGCCTCCCCCAATTCCCACCATGAGAGCGAACTTCAAGTTTGGGAAGGATCGAACCATGTCTTTGGCGACCATAGCAGCAGAGCTGGTACCATATCGACCATGTGGCAAGCATCCAACGACAACATTATGTCCACCCACGCGACCGAAGAGGTAGTTATTATTGTCGTTTACCTCGGCGACCTCTGGACCATCAAATTCATCATCTAACATTCGACAAGCCGCCTCGTACTCTTCCTGCAGGGCAGATATCCAACCAATCGTGTACTCTTCGACGGCCGGTTCTGACATTGCCGCTGGTGGAACACTGCCCAGGGATCGCCTGGCGGTTCCGGAGGGCAGCTTTGTCGAGGTCAATTAGTGGCGAGAAGAGTCGAATCGAGTATCACAAAAGAAGGCAGACGGGACTTAAAGACTCCATCAGATGGGAGAAAAGAGGAAAATGGAAATGAAAATAGAAATGGACACAGCAGAGGGTACCTAGTGGGCAGTTGGGCTCTAGGACGAAGAGGGGCAGATCAGCGAGGCTTTCTTTTGACCAATTATTGCCCATTAACTATCGCCGAGGTTGCGCAATGGCGCTTCCATCACACGCTCCCCCAACCAATCAATCAATCCTCTTGCTACCTCCGCGACTGGTAGCCACGTTATCGTTATCGCCAAAACGAGCTATCAGGAGAAGAGGCGGGAGTATACATGATAAGTTTTTACAGTAATTTGCAAAATTGCCCTGCCTGTTTGCGTTCACTCCTTCTTCAAGTCTCAAATATCGTGAATCGCGCCTGCTTGTGCACGTAGGCCAAGCGGGGTTGGCTGCCTTCTGTTGCGCCGGCATTAAGCTTGCCCTATGCCCTTCGACCTCTTTTTCCTCTCACACCTTCCCCTCAACTCCTCTATCTTGCACTCAACGCCGCCCCCTTTCTCTTCATTTCATCTCCGGCAAGACCACCTATGCTAGCAAGACCGACCAGGCCGGGGAGACTGACTTGGCCTGCGACACTGTTTCTGGTCTGCGGTACATTTTCCTTACCAAAGGAAGTCCGCAAGCCTGCCGGCCTCCCCATCATCCGAGCTCATTCACTGACCGTGGGCACCGGAAGTCCATTCATACCGCCAGGTGAGCCGAGGGTGAGGGATCAAAATTGTACTGTACCATTCAGAAAGAGTGTCGCAGCACAGAAAGAGTGTCGCGGATTATCAGCGCACAGATACCTTCGGCGAGTAGAATTCGAGAACAGATTACAGTAGCTTTTGGTTGGAGGGGTTCCATTCCCGTTCCTCCTTCGCCTTGGCGGAAGCAACATAGTAAAAAGGGTCTGGTTGTCGTTCCAGGGACGAATGTAACGACAGACCAGTCCCTGCGGCAACAAGTCCTAGGTCTAACGTTATATGGCAAAGAGTGGAATTGCAATCTGCCAGCAAGACTTCTCGGGGGACACGCTTCGCGGTTCGAAATCGCAAGCTCGCGGTCCTGAACAGCAAAACTGTTTTTACTCTCGCTGGTCTGCCCGGACTCGCTGAACTATCTATCCGTACTATTCTTAATTGACCTCGCTAGTTCATACCACCTCGTAAGCAAACACACGGTCAAAGGGTACAGAACTAGCGGAGGCACTCGCTTCTGGATACTACCGACAAATCTCTGGTTGCCTTTGAGGGCCGACATGACAGAGTCTACGTTGTGGGCGGTTCTAAGTTGGCGGTTCTGAGTAGGATGCTTGGGTAGAGGCTCTACAATAAGGTCCTGGGACCACGGTCCTGCGACCGGTCCAGACATAGGAATTGCGACATCAGGCTTACGTGGTCTGAAAGCTCTGGTTCCAAGTATACTGCAGACCTAAGTCTCGGATGGACGTACGTCCAAGGCTCTAAATCCAGCTAGGTTTTCAGTCTGCCGACTGGGGTCCTAGTCCTCAAATCCGCAGTCCTTCCACCGCGGCTCCTCGAAATCGGACATGCGCTGCCTGACTAGGGGCTTGGTGGGCCACCAACTCTCGGATTGTGGTTAGTTCCCCGCAGGTCCCAGACTATAGTCCCAGCCGGCTCACGAGCCCCGGCCTATAGGCCAGCTGGGCCTGGTGCCTGTCAACTGGCGGCCAGATCAGACGTTGACCAGATAATGACTAAAGGACGTTCCCATGGCAATATTGAGAATCCCATGGAAACGCGTCGAAGGCTCTTTGCCCTTTCCACGGTCAGGCTTCGAGGTTTTAAGTCCTCACTCGTAAAACCTTGGAGGTTGGGAGAGCTCCCACCTACGATAGCACAAACATTCAGGAAATGTGGTTTCATTCGATACCAGGCGATCTTATGACATGCCCGAGGGCCAGTAGATTCGTGATTTTAAACCCGCAGAGGTTGTAGGTTTGAACTACCGTAGCTCCAAGGTGACAGACGAGACGTTTCGGGGCTCCACGCCAGAAGCCCTGCTGCTTCATGAATAAGTGGGATGCTATTTACAGATCCACCGTGTTTCCAATTTTAGCCAGAGAACGCTTTTGGACAGTGGAAAATATCGTGTGTCCATTATTTCGGCCCGACATGGGTCCGATTATACCTGCCTAGAAATCAAGGCACCTAGATTGAAATAATTTCTGGCTAAAACCTGGGGCCACCCGGACTAATAGGAAACGCACGTGAGAAAGGCTCGTGGAGGCGATCTCCATCCCTCTCGTGCGTTGAACTAGTCTTCACCAGGCACTCACTGGGCAACATTTTCTGAGGACTCACTTTGAACAGTCCTTCACCATTTTAACCATAATATTCGTAATTGGGAGAACAGACATCGCTACCGTTTGATGATAGGGTAAACCAAGGCCGGAGAAACGGTTAGTCCTTTTTGCAGTTGGTAGTATGCAGATCTATGGTCATTTCGAATACTCAGAATCGATATGCGTTGAGCCGCGTCAAGCTGAGGATATTGATTACCAAAAGAACGGCACACCAACACAGCAGGAATTAATCAGTGGCAGGGAAAGAAAAATGTTAGTGTTACGGCGAAAAGTGGGCATTACTGAAGTGTTTACTCTGTTTTCACCGGTGGTTAGCAAGTCCCTCTCAAGCCCGGGTGAACTTTTTCAACAATAGTTTGCTAAGGCCCGCGTTTATGTTTTGTTTATGTGGATTCCAGGCGCTTTTTTTGAGCGTTAAGGACAGGTCATGAAGAAGTGACGGTCGCCAATTCACCGCTGTCTCTTTATGATGTGCCTAATGTGTAGACTAAAAATAGACACTACGGCGGCAGATCAATTCACTGAACTGGCAAAGTGTCAACTTTTCCCTTTTGCATCTTGCTGTTGCTTTACTGCAGTGCTTGATGCTTCCTGGGGGTCCATCTGGGGTCAAGATGATAGGCAAGTCTCAACAGTAAGGTTTAGTTTCGGGATCTCCACCATTGCTTATCATTACGCTGCGGCTTCAAATCTTATTGGATACCAGGGGTTACCACAGTAGCTAGCAGTGCCTCCCCCACCTTGCGGTGAGGGTGCGCCGCACCGTAAGACCAATTTTCACCGTAAAACCAATTTTCCAACCACCCAACCTTCATAAAACTATTCCCAGCCACCAGTATGTCGAAACACGCTGAAATTGACGAATCTCGTGTAATCGAGGCCTGCGAAGCTGCCAGTGCTGTTGAAAAACCGAATTTGTCGAAGATCGCGCGGGAATATGGCGTTTCGTATAATATATTGCTGGGACGCGTTCGTCAGGGAAAACAGGCTCGCACTACCAGAAAACCGAATAATAAAGCTCTTGATGAATACCAGGAGGAAGCTTTGAGGCAGTGGATACCGGAATTGAGAAATTGCCATATGCCTGTCACCCCTACACTGCTAGAGGATATGGCCAATCTCTCACTCAAGCGCGCAGGTGTTGATCGCGTTGTTGGCAAAACCTGGGTGTATCGCTTCATCAAACGACTCCCTAAGGGTATGCAGTTAGCGCCAGTGAAGCAGAAAATGAAGGAGATTAAGCGTATCCAAGCGGAGGATGCGTGGAAACTTACGTTCTGGTATGAGAAGCTCAAGAATGTGGTGAGGGCAGATATGCCAGCGCGTTTGATATACAACTTTGATGAATGCGGCTTTCAACCAGGAAAAGGCAAAGATCAGAAGGTTGTAGGAGGTTCTAATCCTCCTGATCTTTCAGAGTTAGAACACTCAGAAACTATCACTGCCCTTGAGTGTATCGCTGCAGATGGCTGGCATATGGATCCGTTATTCATATTCAAAAGCACCACCTTCCAAGAAACCTGGTTTTATGGAAGTGACGCTCTACCACCCAAAACAACACTAGTTGGTATATCTCCAAATGGCTGGATATCAGATGAATTGATTCTTCAATGATGGCCATTCTAGCCATTTTTCAGCTGAATTCCTACAAAAATGTCACGATTATAAGATAATCTGTGTCGCTTTTGAGCCTCATACAACACACCTTTGCCAGCCTCTTGATGGAAAGCCATTTTTAAGCTATAAACAGCATTTTCGTGTGGTTAATAATGAGATGGCGTACTACGCTGGCCAGCCAGCCGGGAAGGCTGACTTTCTACGGGTAATCACACCTGTACGTGAGAGAGCATTTAACACACGAATTATTCGAGAATCATTCAGGGAACGTGGTATATATCCAGTGGATGGTGTAGCTATTATTCAAAAGCTTCAACGCCAAAAGCCAGAGCTATCAGAGCTTACTACACCTAATCTCCGACCGTATGGAGAGCGAACACCACCCCCTACCCAATTGTCATCCTCAAGCATTGAAAACTCACATCGCAAACCGGTTATTCGACAAGCCTCGCAACAAGATCAGAGGCCATCTCCCCATGGTCATCCAAAATATGCCGAAATCGAGTATTCTCAACCAGTGTTCGCGCCTCGCACGAGATATAGTTAATGACTAACATTCTCAGGGAATAACTCCCACCTGGCTCTTGTCTACCTGTCTGCTCGTAGGTATATTCTAGCAGATCAAGGATGTGGGCCATACTTTGTCCGTTAAGAGAAAAGTTGCAAAGGTCACGATGAAGTGACTTCAAGCATTGTTCTCTTAATGGGTCAATAAGATACCGCGTCGCAAACACATATAACTTTGCATGAGCAAGAAGGTCGGGGTGGGGAGAAATTGTGGCCTCATCTCCAAAAAATCCTAGATGTCTAAACTGACTCCACCGGCGTTCATAGGGGCTTTCAACGTAGATTGATTTCGCAAATTCAATATCCGGCGGAGGTGAGGAATAGTAGCTCTTTTTCTTTTTTTGCGCTTTCTTGGAAGCTCGGCTTCCCCACGCATAAGATGTAGCCTCTGGTTCAGGCTCTGGCTCTGGTTCTTGTTGTGGATTGTTGTCTTTCAATTGATCTAAATTGGATATGAGCAATTATTTGTCCGGCACATTATTAACTAGCACTTACTCTCTGCATCAAAATGGCCATCGTCTTCTTTATCTTTGCGGTAAGGTGTAGTATAATTTCCTTTGTAACCAAACTCACAAAATGCAATGAATGTTTCCTCTTCCACGTCGTCTATAGTAGCAGTTCGGGATATCGCTTCTTTCATGCAACCATTGTTTATGAGAGCGTCCAGCGGGGCCGATAACTTATGAACAAGACCGGCGTGGATTGTCAGCTTCCGTCGATCATGTCCAATAAGAAAGTGAAATTCTGGAGATCGAATGAGTCTTTGGCAGTTAGTTAGCAAGTGAATGAATCAACGACCAATGATCGTACTCTTTGAAATTTTCCATTTCTGAATTTCTCCTATGCGCTCATCTGAACAACAGAATTCGGCAACCTTGGTTGAAGCTCGACATTGGCCTGCGCTAAATAGCACAATATATATCACGGTGAGGGGCATTTGTATGAATCCACCAGTAGATTCTTGCCATGTGGAAGCCGACATAAGACCCTGCAACGGCCAATCGAATGAGAGGTAGCAAAGTTGGGAAGCGAGAGTTGTCCTCTGGTGGAAAACAAGCGTGGCAAGACACATGCAGCATCCATCAAACGGGTGTTACTCCAATGTGGGGAAAGGAGTAGCGGTGAACCAATTATGTATGATGACACAGTGCGAAGGTAGGATCTAGACCGGCTCAGAATGCGGTGTGCCTCGTCTGGTCGAGCTGGGAGTCCATGTAGTGCGACTTGAGGCATCACAATAAGCTGCATGGAACCATACGTCAAATGCTCCAATTCTGAAGATCGGGTTGAGTGGACGACAGGGCGACTTTCAGGCCATCCAGTAAATGTTGAACTGGAGGCCCTATACCTTAATATAGACTCATCACGACCCTCTGCCCTGTTTGGTACCATACTGTGGTTTCTGTTATCGCGTAGAGTTCGGAAACAATATCAGCTTTCCAAGGATGGCTGTCTTGCTCTTTCAAAGACACAGCATTCTTATGAGTTCACACTGTCGAAGTAAATTGGGAGATGGTGTTTACCACAAGGCGGAGAAGGGAGTAAAAGAAGCTGACCAACCAGAAACAAAGTGACGAGAACCCTCCTGATGACGTACCTGGGTGGAGGCGATTATACTCTCTTGTCCGGGCCACGAAGACATTATGATACCCGCAATACAGACTGTTATGGCGCTTCTTAGCAAGATGATCAGCCTTAGATCGCTGACTTCGTGCAGAGTACATTTCGGAGCAGCCACTGTTGAGGCTCCAATTTTAAAGACCAACTACTCCCCGAACGTTTTCGGTTGACTGGACCTCTGGATAGCACCAGAATACAGTACCAGGACAACAGGAGTTGTCGAGTTGTCTTGTCTGGCCCGAGTGCTCAAAATAAAGCGGAGGTACCCACACCGTTGTCCTTTGCAAGCAGGAGATCTGGGGGGGGGGTATTAGGAAATGCACGGACCTTCGTTCTAGGTGGAGAAGGTGCTGTTATTTAGCCAATCCCATTCAATAAACCCGACTTTTCTCCAGAGACGGTGTTAAAACTACTCACCATTTTCTAAGCCCTGATATTTAAAAAATTTAAACACTTGAATTTTAAAAGAACTGGAAAAGGAATTTCCGAGGTGGGGTATATTCCTGGAATGTTCGATTCAAATACAAACTATTTAAACATCCACAACTACATCGCCATCTGGCAAGTTGTTTTATCGTACCACCCGCCCGCCGCAAAATCAGGTTGTACAGACGGAGGACCCTATATCCTTAAATGCATCTTTATTTGACATCTCTTCGACCGTCCTTGTTTCTAGATTAATGCTCGAAAGGCATGTCTTTAGGGCTGGATCTCTATAATGGTCAGCAAGAAAAACGGTGTTTTGGGCGCGTTCTGGTCACCTGACAATAAAGCTGCAGGGATGCCCCTTACTCAGCTGAATGACTGGCAACTTCCGTGAACACAACTCTCATGGATACAACCACGGCATCTTGTGTAACTTGCGATCATGACAACGACTCAGTTCCAGGGGAGAAATGATGGACCTCAGATTGGGACCAATGAAGGGCCGGTCAGGTTAGAGATCCATCAGGGTAGGTTTGATCGTGTATCACCGAGGCTAGATTCGAATTAACACATTTTCATCCACAATGACATACCGTTGAAGATATCGATCGGATGTGCCTCAAAAAACTTCGTTGCCCAGACTCCCTAGCCGTGAAAACCCGCTTAAAGTTGGCAAAGGACAAATTCCTCCGTCAATCATTCGAGTGGATTCTCCAGGACTCGCAATACCGCAGTTGGCGACATGGGAATGATGTCTGTCTTCTCTGGATCAAGGGCGGTGCTGGGAAAGGGAAAACAATGATGTCGATCGGGCTTACAGAAGTGCTCTCACAGAAACAAGATACATCCACTGTGGTGACATATTTCTTTTGCCAAAATGCCAATAGTTGTAATGATCGAGATCAGACTCTGTTTCCTTTTTGGGACTAGTGCGGCTCGCAGCCTATCAGCGAGCCCATCTCCCTCTTTGTTTCTTCTTCTTCTTTCCTCTCCAGACTTAGTATCGCGTGTCTCGAATGCACTTGTTTTCTGAACAAACTGGTCATCATTACAATAGTGAGCTGAATACCCTGGAGTCGGTCATCAAAGGCCTGATTCTAAGATTGATCAACCAGCGAGTTGAACTGAAAGAGTCTTTGCGGTGCCGATGGGACCCTAGGAACGACCGATTCAGTGAGGACGTTAGCTCATGGCGAGCGTTGTGGGACATCTTTTGGGAGATGTTGGACCGGTGTGACTGCTCAAGAGTATATGTCATCGTGGATGCCCTTGATGAGTGCCAAGATAGCGGTATGGCCGACTTCTTGAGACTCATTATCCGAAATGGTCTTGATCAACCCACCAAAATCAAATGGCTCCTGACAAGCCGGCCATTAGAAGCAGCCGAGCGCACATTACTAGCCGGACATGAGCAAATGCAAGTTAGTTTGGAGCTCAACTCCGAACATATCTCTCAATCTGTGCAAACCTATATCTCCTATAAAGTTGATGAGCTCAACCTTCGAAACAGATACGGAGAGGCACTTATGAGAAAATTGAAAACCGAACTTTTTGCGAAAGCCGAGGGCACCTTTCTATGGGTGAGCCTGGTTTGCAAGAGGCTTGAGGATATCTGCGCGGAAGAAGCCTTGGCCACTATTCAAGATTTACCGCCTGGGCTACACCTTTTTTACGATCGAATTTTAAATCAGCTGTGCGAAGGCCAGCCAGATGATGTCCATAATTATATGCGGCTACTGAAGGTAATGATGCTGGTATACCGACCTTTGAAAATGGAAGAAGCTCCCAGTGTGACCGGTCTATTCAGTGGAGATGATACAATCAAGTTCTTAGTTAATCACTGTGCATCTTTTGTCAGAATGCAGAGAAACAACATTGAATTCGTCCATCAATCCGCTCGAGATTATCTAGCGGGGGAGACCGGATTGGCCATACTTAACTCGCATGGTCACTATGAGCATTATAATATTGTCCTTGGCTGTTTATCTCACTTGAGCGAACAGCTAAAAGTCAATCTTATAGACCTACCGCGACCTGATTCGACCCACCAATTTGCAAAATCACTGAAAAGTGAGAGGCAAAATGTTCTACTGTCTTCCCTTAACTATGCAACAACATTTTGGGTACAACACCTCCAGGAAGTCCCACCAACGGTGATAGCGCAAAGCAGGGATTTTGAGGAAGGGCCAGTTGGGTTATTTCTACAGACTAAGCTTTTAGAATGGCTGGAATGCTTTAGCCTATTGGAAAGGCTCCCCAAAGCTGTTGATTCGATCAATTCCCTACGTGATATGGCCAAGGCAAGTATTTAATATTCCTTAGTTTCCACTTTCCTTACTGACAGTCTCTCCAAGGAGGATTCTGTGGCTTTGGCACTTATACAAGACGCTGCACGTTTTCTGCTACAACATTACGATAATATGGCTCGTTGGCCATTACAGATCTACAGCTCTGCTCTTATCTTCAGTCCTGAAACAAGTATTGTGAGGATAAGAAACCTGGAAAAAATTCCACAATATTTCAAAAGTTTTCCTAAGACTGAGAGCACCTGGACTTCTCTTATACAGACAGTAGAAGGCCACTCAAGCTGGGTCCAGACTGTGGCGTTTCCCCCAGATGGCAAGCAGATCGCATCAGGCTCTGCTGATAAGACCATCAAGCTTTGGGATATTGTAAAGTCTCACAAAGCCTCAAAGTTTTTTGGCCATCGTTTGGGTAGTCGTCTCAAACTCCGACCAGAAAGAGAAATCGAAATATCGGAGCCGGTGCTAAACCTCAAATTCTCTGCAGATAACCTATACCTTATTGCGGGTACTGCACAAATCAGACTTGAAGATACTGCGGCGGAAGATGAACATACGAATTCATTACAGGATTTCTTTGTGAAAGATCGTTGGATATGCTATGGACTGATGCCATTTCTTCGGCTATCATCGTATATGCATCCTGATTGCTACGATACGCAAGATGATCAAGTAGCTATTGGATCGGGACATGGTCAAGTCTTGCCGTTTAGATTCGATCGATCTACTCTACATTCAATGTTAGGGCCAGATGCGGTTTAAAGTTTTAGGCCTAGGAAATGAAGACATACATACATATCATTCAAGGCTGAGTCAGTTGTCACCTTCAGGAGCCAACTATTTTCAATCTGACGGAGTGGGATTGAGATAATTTTGATGTTGTTTTCACTGGACGATGCTTTGTAGACCAAAGAACGTTTTAAGGGAATCCTGTTAGACTGGCCGTTTCCAGGTGGAACTCAAGAATCGCGGCCTGAAGCAGAAGCCGACTACTGCATTAACTAGTCTGCCCTGCTCAAGCCAGCCCATTGATTTAAATATCTTCAATTTTCTTTTTCCTCCTATGTACAAATTTCATTTTTTCAAGTCCTGCACTCCTATTGCCCTTATTAATACATGAATACCCTAACAAAAATTGAACAATTAAATTACGCTAAGTGCGGTTATCAAATCCATCGGTACGTATTCATACATGGTCTAGTACATGTAATATAAATATTGGCTGCTGCGCTTGACTTGGATTAGCAGCTTTTGGCATCAGGGTTCAAGAAAGAATCGAAGAGTATAAGTGGTGACACCGATTTCCGGAAGTAATGTAGTTCAATAATAAATCTAAAATCTAAACGAGCGCCTTTATACGCCCTCAGAGAGCTGCCTGCGCCCTCTCCTCTATCGATGAAACATTCCTCATACTCCGAACCCATTTAACGATATCTCTTACAAACTAGCGGGCAATACCTACCACGATCCCCTTATCGATAAAAAACGATAGGATTTAGCCCTTATATATCAGTTGAAGATCTAGACCATTTGCTAGAGCAATATCGCGCGCTCCTCGAAATTGGGCTTTTAAATTGTCATCACCAACATTTACTTCATGCTAAGCGGTGTACTCTCGAACTCCCTCATCTTGAAGTCCAGGAATATTAAAGTTATCACTGGACAGGTCATTTTGTGACGGAAGTATTGCTGGGGTTGCGATTAAATTGAGCGTCTCTGGCTGAGGGGAAGGTTGTACCCCATTAAAGTTAAAAATTTATAGGATAACTTCCTAGAGTGTCAGTTATCTTGTTACTCTTAGATTGTTGACTCTCTAGTCTGTATTACTCTTTTATATATAAGTCTTCACGAATATTGTCTAGGATATAGTTATAGGATTGCACAGTTCCCCCTTTCTCTATAAAGGTAATTAGATATCTTAGTCTATAGTGTTTTTTCTCGTGAGGGTCTTGCTAGTAATATCGGTCTAGATAGTATAATAAGAAAGGATAATATATTAGATTATAAATACTTCGCTAGACAGACTCTTCTCTAGAAGTATTTTCTTTAGTATCTAGTTTAGTATCTCACTTATTGAGTATTCTTTTCGTAACAGATAACTATTCTCTTTTCTTAGCCCTACCTGAGGTAGTCCTGGTGAGGCGGTTACTCTTGATATATTTAAAGGTAATACTTAGCCTCAGTTTCTTGTCTCAATAAAACAGTTCTCTCTATCTAAGCAGCTGTTTTTCTATAGCAGACTAATCAATATTAAGATTCTTAAATTGCTTCGTTAGGTTGTGTTAGGAACAATTGTTTACCGACATAACGATCAAGGTATTATCTGATCTTACTCTCTCTATATAAGAGGTTTTCTCTTCTAGTAACTTCTCTAACTTATGTCTTAAGTTCACCGGCTAGTAGGGACTCGGAGTCAGGACTATGTTCTCTTCTGTGTCTTGTGAGATAACCTTCCTATTCAGCATAACCTTCCACTCTATTATATACTAGATATAGCTTACTAGAAGCTTATTACTTTATAGTTCCTCGTCCTACTTAGAGAGCTAGAGTAGTTTAGGTTTTCCCGTGTCGACTTAGTATAACTGTGTGAGACTAGACATTAACAAAACCCAAAATGGGTCGGAGATGCAAACCCAAAACCCAACCCAACCCAAAACCCAACCCAACCCAAAACCCAATGGGTTTTCGATGGGTTACCCATTTGAACTCATTTGAACCCATGACTGCATAAAGTAGATGTCTTGGCGTTCATAAAACAGGTTATGAAGCTTTGTAGAATGTTGTTATTTACAGTTGTATTAGGTTGTTTTTTATTTATGTAACTTATTACTCCCCGCCATATAACTTATATTTTATAGAAGTCAACTTCATATCAATATAATCATATTCATCGCTCATAATCATCACTAGATTCACATTTTGTATTCAGACTTACACCTCTGTCTGTCAAGATAGCTATATACGTAAAAAAGTTATGCAGTCATGTGAGATCAGTTTGTTTGCCATGTTTACACTAAAATGGGAACCCACTGGGTTCCCATATGGGTTTTGGGTTATAAGATTCGACCCAAAACCCACGATGGGTTGGGTTGGGTTGGGTTGGGTCATGGTTGGCATGGGTTCTGTTAATGTCTATGTGAGACTGTTCGGGACAGAATACCCGGGGAAGGACTAAGCCTGTACAGTCGATAGCGAAAACGGCTTCTACCCCACAGACTGCTTTTCTTTCCTCGGCCCCACTGCCAAGGCCTTAGTGCATATCATCTATTGATCGGGGTACATTAAGTTGAGGGCCAGAGTGCCATGCCCGTGTACGGTAATGTAGCTAATCTGTAAAGTTACACCTTCTGCTATAAATTTTAGGTAGTAAAGCTTGATCGTTGTGGTACTAGGTACGCGGTATTTTACGGTGGCCCTCAACTTAGAGTGGTCTGGCCATTACAAGGCCTGCGCTAGGGCCTTGGCAGTGGGGCCTGGGAGAAGAAAAGCAGTCTGTGGGGTAGAAGCCGTTTTCGCTATCGACTGTATCATAGTTCAGGTGTGTAACCAAAGTATTCTGGAGTGAGAGTATATTGTGAATCCTGGTCTGATACTTCTAACTTATAGGAAAATTAAAGATTATTACCATTATAATACGAGTCAACAGTTATCGTCATAGTTCTAATAGTCCTACTGATTCTAGTGTTAGCACGATTTCGGACACGCAGTCTAGTAGATATACGCCCCAATCAGAATACCAGGATAGTTACATATCGTATACGAAAGCATTTACTAAACTAATATTTTCTCTATAAATATCGTTTTTTCACTGGTCACTCCTGTGGATGCCGAGTAGTTGATTAAGGAGAGAAGTCGAATTCAGGCCAGAAAACCACTGATAAGGAGAAATGCCTTCTGTTTGCATTGTTTGTATGATAAACATTCTAGAAGCCCTTAAGACCATACCAGATTATTACGGATGCTATTTTTACACTGTTTTTTACAGCCGTATGGGAATACTGCCAAGAAAGGGATTCAAGGGTCGGTTAACCATGATAGGTATAGCGCAGTTTCAAAAGAGGCATTGAGAAAGAATCTCTGTGTGAAGGTGGTGAATCTGATTTCGATCCATGCTGTAACCGAAACCTCTTGGGCTCTGCTGAGGCCATTCCCTATTTACCTCCCGAAGCCCTGCTTCCTCACTAGCCTTGAAGGTGTCATTCCAAAATCAAAACGGGCTTCTGTCTGACTGACCATTAAGTGCCGGGTCGAAAAACGGGCAATCCTTATCTAGAGTTGGTACGTAATGATTGCGGCCACCTTTCTTCGTATGCGTTCTTATATGCTCCTTGAGGTTGTCATTGCGAGTGAAGCTGCGGTTACATTCAGGGACCCAGCAAGCAATAGATGCTCCCTCGTGTTTTTTGAGGTGGCGCGTCAGATGTCCACGACGCTTAAATCTCCATTTACAGCCTGGCTCACAACACTTGAACGGGCGTTTCCCGATCCTAAGAGCAGCATAATCAATTTTAATTGATTTCTCGAAAGTTCTTTTCCCAAGTGTGGTTTTGGCTGTCTCACTACTGGAAGAAACTTGATTGATAGTCTCATCGGTGCATTCCATCAGTAGTCCAGACGTCTCAGAGTAGTCCTTTTTATTGCAGGATTCAGTAGTAATATTCAAAAATCTTCCTGAATTTGACTTTTGTGGTGAGCTTTGTAATATGTCGGAGAATACGTTCGGCAATATGGGGTCAAAATCCTCCAACGGAATCATCTCAGGCTCACCCTGCTGAGTAGATCCTATGGAGCGCTCCATCTCGTCATCTTTGTAGCCCTTCCTTTGTTCCATTGACAGGAATCTATGGGAAGCAGATGAAGAGCTTTGCGTTGAATAATTCAGTGATAGATTGACCAATGGCATCGGGGAACTGCATGGCCTATCATGTTGACTAATGTGCCAAACGCTACCCGCATTTTCTGTCGGCAAGTCCACCACGCTCAATGTAGGTGTGATTGTATCATACAATGGAAGATCCGTGAGCAGTTCATAATTTCTCCACTGTTGATCGAGCGGGGAATAAGTGTCTGGAAGAAGCAATTCTGCTTGCGAAGTACCAGGAGAGTCTAACAGGCCATTATCAAACTCAATACTTAATGAAGATTGATCGGCAATAGGTCCAGAGTTGAGATGAGTGTCACTGTCAGCCGGACTCTCGAGGTTTCCATGGAGAGACTCCAATTTTCTAGATTCATTGCTGTTGAGCATTACAGCATGCTGCCTTCGAAGTCTATATTTGTAGTCTGGAAAAGCTGCTCCATGGTTTTGTTGATCAACTTTCGCGAGAGTTTTGTACTTCTGTTTGATATGACCTAATTCATTGTTCCAACTGGCCCCAGTAACTCGAGAAATGGAAATCTGAGAGATGGCTCCAGATTCAGTTGCAGCCAAGAGTACCCGCACACGCTCTGAGTATGCACGTTGATAAAGCATGAAACAGTTCATGGGACGTATGATCTTGCCTTTCCTTTCCGCTTGTCGACGACGTTCATTTGTTGAACGATGTACCCATCTATCCATATCCTTCAGCGGTATATTAGTCAAGTGAGCGGTCGCGTCGCTCAGCCGTTCACGATCCCAGTCATGCCGTTGTTCCATTTTGCAAGGCTCTATTGAAGTGGAGACACTCGCAAATACTCGAAATGGCTGATAGGGTTCCATAAGTTGATAAAATGAGTTATGAAAGAAGCCTGAGGCGTAAAGAGGACTTTGTTTTGGCCAC